AATTGAGATTCTGTGAAATACACTTAAAAAAAACTACAACAAAACCCAAACTCCAAGGCAATGTGGGAGTGTTACAAATGGTTTGTGCTGTATGTCACAGCCATGTGTGATTTCCCAGTGGACACAACTGTGAAGCAGAGTAATTCCTCATGCTCTGAAGCCACTGATTCCTACCACCTCACCCACAATGAGTCACCATGTGCTTTCTTCTTTTAGTGGTTGATGACATGTGATGAAATATTCTAATTCTGCCCAGGATGGGGCAATGATGTATCTTCACTGACTACTTCACTGTAGTTTTTTGTGAACCTTTGGGAAATGCTATTTAAGGAGCCCCTAAAAGCCAGACATTAAACTCAGTCAACATATTTCATGATCATATTTTAGTTTTGCCAGCCATTTCTGTGATGCTGGGGCATATCTTGTACCTCTCTACCTTGAAGAGTTAGCAAGTGGTGTCAAACACATTCAGTGCAGAGACAGCTCATTTCACCTGACCCCACTTGGCTGTGATGCACACTGAGATTTGAACATTATCCTCATAATGAGACCTGCTTGGTGCCAGGAGAAATTCAGAGTGAATTTGTGCATGGGCCACGAGTTTTAGTTGGATTCAGTCCCCTTTCTGGAGAGGAGTTTGCTTTTGGTTTAGTTACAAGGATTGCTCATGGCTTAAGTGGTTGCTCACTGCCAGCCTGTGGAATGAAACCCATTAAAGGTCTGACAGACCCTTAGACTGATCTCTAGATCATGCAGCTTCCACTGCTGTCTCAGATTCTCTGTTTTGTGTGTAAAATGAAAGGCTTCATTTTTCAGACTCTCAAAAATGTTTTTTATCAGTCCTTAGGCTAGAAAAATTGGTAGCCAGTGAAAGCCAAGCATTTGAGTTGTGAACCTCTGATGGAAAAGCACATGCTGTAAAAAGTGGCTCTTATCAGTGCTTTTTCTGTGAGAGCAGAACATCTCTTCTTGGGTTTTAAAAGTATGTCTCGCCCACATCCCCCCAGCATATCTGTGCCTGCCCACACTGCAGGCTGGTGGGGAGATGCTCAGGATGTCTGGTTACAGTGGCAGGGAGGTTGCTGTGCCCTCATTTACCCTGCACAGCTTTTTGCAGATAGCTGTGGCCAAGGGCCCTGGAGCTCTCGGAGCTCACAAAGCAGGCAGCTCTGGACAGCTGGTGCACATGGCATCAGTCAGAGCTGTGCGTGGTAGCCTCTCACCTGGGCACAGTTCTGTTGGCAGACACCTACAAGGCAGGTGAAACTACCCTGACAGAAGTGTGCTTTAAATGGTAGCCCTTATAATGTGGCAGGACATGGAAAATGTAGGGAGAGGATGGGATGGTTTTCGCAGATCAATACCAAGTGTAGCTTTGCTGTCATCAGAGGGACATTGGCCTTGGAGTGATGTCCTCCTGCAAGATATGTATTTTACATCTGGCTTCTTGACTGATACTCCTGTGGCAATGAAGAGTTTCTTTTTATTTTCATTTTCATGTGGATGTTTGTGGCATGTCCTGTCCCAGCACTAGAAGAGATGATCGAATTTAAAAATACATCACAGAAAGCATTGAGGGGTGTTTATTCATTCACAGAGGCATTGGAACACTGTGATTTGATTTATTTTGCCATAACTCTGTTTTTGGATGAAGGAATTTTGGACACTGGCAACCCAGGTTTAAAAGGCTGGAAGCAAGAAAAGAGTGAGCTGGTAGGAGGTAGAGCAAGTAGGCTCCTGTTCAATGCTTGGGGAATTACTTCAGTTATATTTTTCTCTTCAGATGAATTGTTTGCTCTGATCCAAACAGCTATTTACCCTTCACTGTATCAGCTGAAATGTTTGTCTGCCTCACAGTTCGTATCACCTTATGAGCAAGTTTACCTAAAGAAAACGTCAGCATTAGCCAAGTCAGTACAAAGGGGAAAAAAGGAGGGGGGAAGAAATGAAGAGAACAGAAAAGGAATGTGTTTGGGGGAACTCAGGAAAGTGTTCTGTGTATAAGCCAGTGAATCTTAAACAATATTAACTTCTTAGCAACAATAATTGTGTTTTGTTTAACTAACAAAGGATATTGTAAGCAGATATGTGCATCTCAGGCAGATAAGGTTTGTGTTGGACAGCTCTTTTATTGGTCCAACATTTGGTAATTCACTCAAATTTAGCTATGGAACAAGAATTATGCATATTTGCTTCTGAGGCTGAGGTTAGACATTAGGCTCCCAGTAATTTTCCAGTTCCTTACTAAATTTAAATCTTAATAGAATGGGGCCCAGCCTGTCATCTTTATGTTTTCATGCCAATCCCAATAGAGTAGAGAAGCAAAAGGGCAGAATTTAACTGTCTCTTCCTCTCAATAGAAGAGTAGCACTTTTGTGTTTGCATTTCTTTTCCATCCAAGATCTCAAAGCACGTGAATATTCTCTTTGTGTCAGTGGAAAACCAAGGCATGGAGCAATTCAGGCACTATTCAACCCATGATGTCAAAGCACAAGCTGGCGCATTGCAGCCCACATAATGAATTGTAGGAACACGTCCTCTGTGAAGTCCTGCATTTAAGTCCTATAACATCCTATAAAGAAGAATAAACTGAAGGAAAAGCTGTTGAGTGATTGCCTCCTAGTTTCACAGGAGGCCAATGGCACAGATGGGAACAGACCATGGGAATCCTGGATCCCATCTCCATATCAAATTGCTACATGTTCCTCACTTCCTTTGAGCAATCATTTCCCTTGCTAAGGTAACTTCTTTTAAAGTGTTTGAATTTTCAGCTGTCAAATGTAGACCAAACTTATTTCATCCAGATACATGAGGACTCCCTTAGTTCTACTGCACTAAACTGTCTCTCAGCTGCCCCAATTCACTCCAAGCCACTGGATTTTGTAGAGTTAGAGGCCAAACATCTTCTCTTGCTGCCTTCTCTCCATTTCATAATTCAGGCAGGAAAGTTGGATAAAACCGGCCAGGTTCTTGTTGCCAACAAAAACTTTTCCTATCAAAAAGGAAGAAAAAAGCCATTTTTCTGTGCTCACCAGCTCAAATAAGGAATGGAATTCATTCCTTAGTAATCAGGGAAATTAAATAAAGTGAGGAGACAGAACATAATGGTGTAAATTTAGTTATTGAAGTGCTGCTTTAAATTCCTGGATTAGACACACAAGGAGGGTATGCCTTTCATGGGAAAATGCCTTTTAGCTTGTCAGTCTTAGTGATGAGAATTCTCTAAATTAAGAATTTCTTTGATGTCTGTGTGGATGTAAATGCCACATATGCAAATTTTACTGAGTCACACCTGGAAGAAAACCAAAATTTCTAAAGCTGAGCTGAAATGGCCAGCCTTTCTCCTAGTTTCTTCTCCCAACCCTTTAAAACGGCACTCATCCCATAATCTGAGCACAGATTTCCATGAAATCTTATGTCCCAGCTTGTCTGAAAGGATTGGGCCATGCTTGGACCTTTAACATGATACTGGTTTTGTTTTCTGATGACACTGAAGCCAGTGCACTAGAGAAGGTTGGAAGATGTTTGACTGACCTACTCCAGTTCCTGAGTCGCTGACAAAGCGCCCAGGTGGGTTCTGGACACTCTTGCTGTTTGTTTGCCCACATATAAATGGTTTATATTAACTTGTCTGAGGGGTTTCACGAGGATTAGTTAATATTTGCAAGGTATTCATGGGCATGCAGCATGTGAAACATCAAGAGCCAGTTCCTTCCTCTTTAACTTGCATGACCTGATAAAGGATGCTGGGTTTCCTCTCTAATCTACATCATGTAACACAGAAACCTTCTTCTGTTTGCCTTCCCCTGTATGCAGCTCTTGGACAAGAACAACAAAGACTATTCTTCATGATGGTTTGCTCTTTCAGAAGGCGAGGGAAAGGGGAAGTCTGTGCAGAAGAAAGTGATGATGCTTAGAACTTGAGCAGAAAACTGCCCTACAAAAGAAAACAAATATAGAACTTTCAAAAAGGTGGATTTCTAAGCATAAATATAAGCTCAGGCCTCCCTAGCCTCTGTTTAGTGTTAAATTAGACACTTTTGCCTTGGAGCTGAAGGGTTTGTTTGAAAGCTTGGTTACTTTTCCACATGTATCAAATGATCTGTTACTATCACTGCCCACAAATCTGTTTGATTTCTAGAATCTTTGTTTTGATAATATCATTGAAGATACCTGCCAGAGAAAATGGATTTCAACAAGACTTTTCATTTCCTTATTTACTCTAGAGTGCAGCATTGAAGACTGAATTTGCTCCCCAGTCTACTTTTGCCCTGGTATTATAAAGTTTATTACTTGTCTATTCAATTCCTTGCATGTGAAGTACAACATTTCTTCTAATTAAATTTCTACTACTTTTTATAAGATAGGGCCTAATTTTATTTTTTTCTTTTTCTCTCCACCCTCCCCCTTGTCTGGAATGGGGTGAATGCCCTTTTTCTGGGACAATTGTGGTCAGGCCAGTCTCGTGAGGCTTCCACCTCCCCCTGGCATGACCTCAGTTCTACATTGCTCTCTGTGCTAATGCATTTCAGAGCTTCCCAAAATCATTAACCCTGTGAAAAACCTATTGCTGAGGACCTAGGGCAAGTTAGGCACCACTGAATGTGGAGGATGGTACTCTGGCCTGGTGAAAGGTCATTCAATTTTGCCTTCTAAAAGTATGTGGGAAGGCTGGAATGGGGAGGGACAAGAGCTGTTTGCTGATATGAACCTAGGATGGGGGAGGAATTTTGGTACAGAGGAGCAATGGCAGATGAAGTGTGCAGATGCAAGAGAATCATCTCCAGTGGCAGAACTGATGCTGACTTCATCTGGATCAGGGTTTCAGTCTGGTATCTCCAGCCACTCAATACTGTTGACTTACCAATAAAAGTAAACAAAATATTTGTTTATTTCATGACTGGTTCTGACAATCCTGGCCCTTCTGGGGCCACATGAGTATGGTCCATTTCAAAGTATCACCTATGAAAATGAGCCCAAAGAAGCCATACAGAAACATCTTTAGTTCTTTAGCAAAAGTCACCATTCCTCTAATTTATCAGCTGTAATTAGAAGGAGCATTTACCCCTCTTTCTCGATGGAGAGGTAAACGCCAGAGTAAGAGAAGAACATTGTTAACAAAGAAAGAGGGAGGGTTTTAAAATGGATTTTGTTATTTTTGATCTTAGGTTCTCTGACAAGTAATACAGGGGGATTTTTTTACAAAGAGCAGTGGGAGCAAGCAACCACAGTCATTTTACAGTTTGTCAGATGGAGTAGTTATGGCTCACTGTAAGAAAATGATCAGACAATCCAAAATCTCTGTTTCAGCTCTGTTTTCCTAAAACATGTATTGACTAACAAATATAAAGAGCAAGGGATCTCTGCTGGATGGAGGCAGGGGTAATTACAGTTTGTAACCCAGTGTGAATTATGGTAGGTATGCCAGATCTTGGCTGCTGTAAACTGACAGACTTTGGTGCAGATGCAGTGCTGTAGTCCATCTGAGGATTTATCCTTTGGTGCTTAAAAATGCAGCTATTTTATGCATAAAAAATACAAAAATCTTTTCTTTCTATTACCCTTTAGCCCCTTTCCGATTTACATCAGCCATCATACTTATATCCTGGAGAATGTATTTTAGGTGAACCTCTCAACTTCACCATATTCTGGACAGTAACCCTGGGCCCTCCTTTATTTCAACGTCTGACTCACTTTTTTTCCTAGCTGAGCCCCCCGAGCTTTTGCAATTTCCTCCCATCCATGGTAGTTTTCCTAGCAGGTTCTTACCAATCTTTTTACTCCTCCCCCATCCATTTGGCTGTGTCACTCACATTTAGTCCTCAAGATTTATCCTTATAAATCACTTTTGATTTTCCTTTTATGCTTTGGCTTTTATGGATGCAGTTGTGGCCTGTAGCAACCTGGGAGTAAATTGAATATAGAAAAGTGTTCTGCCTCTGATGAAGGATAATGATGAAGGAATCATGTGTTTTCATTAATGCCATATTATACTTGAAGCTTTGATCTGATTTACTTTCTACAATCCATTTAACATCAAAATTTTGCAGTGATTCTGTTGTGAAAGTATCTCTCATGTTATTTCTCTTTACCCAAATGTTTCTGTTTGCATTCTGACAGATTTTTCCATTTAGTCCCAGGGGCTATGAATTCCTTTTGAACTGTGTTTTCCCTGCTTCCCTGGCATTTGCAGTACCTCCTGATTTAGATTCAATATCTGACTTTAATTAGTATGCTCTCTGCCCTCACTCAGATCACTAAATCTGTCCACCAGGAGCAAAGGGAAAGGATGAGCCTGGAGCAATGTTTGCCATTGCAGAGGAACAGTGAATGGCAATAAACATGAGCAGAGGAATGGTTAATATCAATACACCATTTTCCTGGGGAGAGAGTTGATGGGTTCTAAAGTCAGGCAAAATGATACATAAATGTTTAGTCTCAGGTGGCATCTTTTGCAGATGAATTCAAATTAAGCTGCAATAAATTCATGGCCCTGCTTGTTAAAGCTGTCAGCAAAGAGTGTGAGGAGCCCAGCCAAGATGTAACACGAGAATGGATTAAGATCTCACAGTCTTCCTGGGACAAGGCAATCTTTAATCTAGCTGCATTCCTGGGATAGGAGAAGGACATCTGAATGACAGAATGCAGTTTGTCATCAACAGATAAGTCTTGATTAAAGATAACTCAGAGGTCCTGGAGAAACATAAGTGAATGCACCAAAACCCTTCTGACTGAGAATGACAGAGGCAATAGAATCTAAAAGATTCTTAGCTGGGATTTGTCATATATTTTGGTCTCTTAGGCCCTGGCCAGAGCAGTGCCAATGCAAGGAGATCAGTGCTTTGATCCAATTCCATGACAATCAATAGATTTTAAGAGCATATTTTATACATTCAACAAATCAGCAGGTGCCATTTGGAGATGGATTACTCTGTCCCTTTTATTCACATGTGCTTGGCATATGTTCCATTATTTATGTTCTCCCCAGACAGATCAATAGATCCATCGATCTACTGAATAGGCTAATTTTTTTTTCTCCCCATCATTGTCATAATCTGAGAGTTGACTGATGACTGTATTTGTTTTGCTTGCAACTTCTTCAACTTCACCCCAGAATTAAAGGCTAATCCAAACTCACCTGTTTTTCACCTGAAAGTTTTTGCATATATGAATGAAGACACTGACAGATAACCTCATACCTCCTGATGAGTACAGTAACTGCAGAAAAAAGTCTCAGATGTCCATAGAATGTAGAAGTCCAAGGCACAGGGAAATACTGACAGTATGCACATTGTGGCCTTGTTCTTTTGATACAGATTAGATAGCGAGTGACGACATGAGGTCATATGAAAAAAACACCAGTGTCCCAGTTGTAGCCACCAGGTTCCTTCACGGCAGCATCTGCTGTACCAAAGTTACTGTTGGTTTGGGAGCTCCAAAATTCTGTGGGTTTTTTTGCATCTGTTCTGGGTAAATGCAGATGGTGAGGCAGCAATCCCCAGGTCCTAGGTTAGCAGAGGGGAAGAATGGCTTGCTGTCCTGGGTGGAGGAGAGAAATTGTGGCATTTTGAAGGACCCAGCGGCTTGCTGAAGTACCCAGTTAGAGGCATTATTCAAGGTAATATCAGAGGTCTACTGTGGTGATACAAAATAAAATTAAATCAGGCTCTTTCCTATGGTTGTTCAGTGGGCATGACTGAGGACTACTTTCTGTGCTTCTTCATAGAAGGCAGTAGTTAAGAAAGCCACTGTGGCTTGTTGGATGTTCAAATGAGGGAAGCAATTGATTTTTTTATTCTGTGGTTGTGTCAAGGGAAGGATTTGGCAGCAGACAGGCATGCTGGAAAATTGTAAAGTTCTGGAGACAAAGCTATACTGACAACATAGAGCAAGTTGAAGGAAACTTCCCTTTAGGCTCACTGAAAAAAATAGAAAATAAGTTTGACAGTTATGTCTCTATTTGTTTCTTTCTAAAATGGATGGATTTTTTCTCCAGAAATTCTGCAAACGTTGTAAGCACAAGTAGCAGACGCATAAATCGCAGATTTGGAGGGCAATCTGTCTACCTTATGATTCTTATTCTAGAACCAGTGCCACAAAGTACCCATTTGCAGAAACATTTCAAGTTTTTAGCACATCTTCTTTCAAAACTTACCATTGGAGAAAACTTTCCAGGCTGGGAGTTCAGTTTGCAGCATAACAGAGGAGTGGACTAAGAGCTGAGGGGGGGAAAGCATCGTGTGTAACAAGAAGAAACAAGTTGGAGGCTCTCCACCTGCCTGTTCTTAACTGACACACTTGAGCAAAACCAAACCACAAACAGCATCTAGAGACTTGCATCCTGCTACACTACTTTTTTATTTCTTCCCTAGAGTTTGGAGGGGCTGCACCTGACCTTTGTATGCACTGACTCTAGTTGTGCCAAGCAAGCAGTTCAGTGGCAAACTAAGTGGAAATAAATTATTTTAATTAGTGTAATTGGATTACATTGAAGTGTTTTTGGGGGCTGCTGTTCTGCTTCAGATGTTGTTCAAACTGTCCTGGCTGTACATAATTTCTAAATCAACATATTACATAGGGATTTAGGCAGAGAAAAGGGAATTGGCCAGAAAAAGCCCTGATTTACTTCAGATTTGATATTTGATAATACAAGGAACATGGGGTGGATTGCATTAGGTTTTTACTAGGACAGCAGATTTTTTTTGCAAGCTGTCATCATGTGCACCTTATTTTCTCAGGAAGTCATGAGGTTATAGGTATTTTTTTAACCTTTGTTTCTTGCTTGTCATCAATAGCTGAAATCCCATCACCATCCACTGTGAGCAGAAAAAACAGGAAAAAAAACTCTGTGTTCCACAGGACCTTACCTTTTAACAGGAGCAGGTCATCACTCAACTACCCAAAGCTCTGAAGGCCCTCAGTCAGTATAAATTAGAGAGAAATAGTGGAGATCAGATGCCCAAAAACTTGGGTATCATTGGCTAATATAAATGCATCTCAAAAGGTATTTGACTGCAACTGATTACATCTGCTTTCAATTAGTAGAGGAAATGACGAGCAACCATCAACATTATTTCCCTCCACAGCAGCTTTTTTGAGGCAGCCTTCCATAACCTTATGTACTTGACAGCATATTTTAGCACTAACACTTGGTATGGCTGTTTCTTCTCCTGAGAGAAACTGTGATTCTCACTAAGGAAACCCCTTGAATGCAATAAATCATTTACTGGAGCACAGTCCATTGCATTTCAACAGATCAGCATTTGGTACTTGTAGTTGGTGGCTGGGATCAGACAACATCAACAGTAAGGAAATTCAAATTCCAAATTTCAGCATTGGTTTCACTACTGGGCTTCTGCCTTTGTGTTGTGCAGGCTAAAACTGAATTTGGCTTTCATGTAGACTGTTCTTTCATTCTTGTAGATCCTATACACAACATTAAAAGGGATGATAGAGCCAATACCTCCTGCCCTTTGTGAGACCATAGCAGGTTTCTTGAACACTACCTGAAAGCCAGATTATGATGGCCAGAGTAAATGTTTGGTGAAGATAAGTAACTGGATGATAAAACTAAATGGCTATGGGTTATCCAAGGAAACTGAAAGGGAAAACAGGCTGGGAGAAATTGTAAAAGTAGTTTATTCACATGAACATCCAGTATTATATTAAACGTGCTAAGTTTGGGATATACTAGAGCTTCTCCTTTTATTGCATCCTTAACAGTCAAGTGAACATGGTTTTAGAAGAGTGGAATGTTTTAAGCAAACATTGCTGACCTAGATTTTCAAAATGGGTGAGCTTGAGGACACAGTCTTCATTTTATGCCTCATTAACTTAGCCTGTTCTTCAGAGTTTCCATGGAAACTACCTCTTTGGTGACAGATAGAAACTTTTGATGGGCCGAGTAAGAAAAAGGCAACAAGAGGTATTAGGACAGAGAATGTGTTACAGAGCCCTAATGGAAGAAGACACTGAATGAACTTTAAACATAAACAAAGGGATGATAGTAGAAGACCATAAATGTCAGTGACAGTGAGGATGATTCAAAGTTACTATGGGATGTGAAAGTACAAACTTAACAGAGCATGACCTTGTTTTGATAGTTAATGAAGTTAAGCTGGGCTCAGGATAGAATAACAGAGATCAGTCTGACTTTGTCATTATGGATGAATGAGCACGGCTCCAACCCAAAATTTCAAACATGATGGTGTTGAGAGAGTCTTCAAAGAGCACCAAGCCTGATGCAGCTTTGTGCTTAAGGCACCTGTGGTAAGAACACCTGTGGTAAGAACACCTACAGATGTATTGCACCCAACCCATTTCTAGGCTTATGTTCATCCTGCACTGTCCCTGTTACACTGGGGAGGTATCATTAATGTAACTACATGAGTGTATCATAGATCAAACTATTCTTGGCTGCTATTTTAAGTTAATTATAGGTTGGTGTTTTCTAAGGACTTCTGAAAATGCAATCAGCAGCTTAGCTCCTGGACTTACCTGTAAAAGTGTGCTTTGTGACTGGAATTCAGTTATTAGCAATCTCTAGATTTGTTCTGCTGTAGATGGGTCATTTCAGGGGCTCTTGTTTATCTTTGAACTTTCAAAAGATCATGAAAGCACTGAGCAGAACATACATAACATAAAATAACATGCATTTGTTTAACGTGGTGAAGTGTGTAGAACTGCAGACGAACTTACCTGGACAGCAAGGCCTCTTTCAGTTCTTATTTTTGTAATTATGCAGGTATGGTAATTTGTTAAAGCTCAATTGCTGTATGCAGCCTTGACCATCAAACTCTGCTCTCAATCCCATCAGATTAATTAAAATATAGTTATATGCTGATATGTTAAAAATGTTGCTGAAGCTGCTCAAGTGCTGCAGCAACGTGCCTGGATATAAACAAAGAGCTGGACACACGAAGGCATGACCAAGGGGATTGCTGGATCAGGAGTGCTGCAAATGGCTCAGTTGTAACAGTGATCTCTCAGTGGCTGTGTTGCCACATGTTTTTCCAATGTTTTGAATCAGTCTTTCTAAAGAAATCACTGAACTTTTCTCTTGCATGAGCACAGTCTTGGCTTGACCACAGGCCCATTGGCCTCCTCTGGTGTCTGGTCCTTCACCTTCTAAATTCTGCCTGTTGTGGTGTAAGACAGATATTTCCAAGGAATATTCCTCCTTCACAGGGGTGGGGAACTGCTGTTGCTCCAATTTCTTGGTAACCGGTCTTTTATGTACCCAAGGATTTTGAAACAGAGGCTGGAACATGCCTTCTTCTCAGACCTCCTCTGGTTTCAGTTGTCACATCTATAATCAGAAGAGATCATGCAACACATGCCCTCTCAAATCTTGTCAGCTGGGTAATAGAGGGATCTTTCAAGAGCAGGAATTGGTTAGGCCCAACTTTGCCACTTCACCAGCAATGCAAATGTCTTACACAAAGGCTTTTTAGGAAGAAACCTGTCATGATAATGACTGTCTATCCAAAACAACATCTTATGACCAAATATTATGAAATCATCAGATTAAATACAGAAATAATAGCAGAAGTTGCTGGGGCAGATTCCTTCTTTGCTTTCATGTGACTATCTAATCTGACCTGACCTGCCAAGTTGCTTGAAAAGATGTTAGTGTGTGAGCTTGGGACATTAGTATTACAGCACCTCTCTGTATTTGCTAGCATGAGAGCAGTAAGGAAAGCATGTACCAGAAGGAGATTGATGGTAATGTAATGTAATTCACTGCTATGGCTCTTTAGAGACACAATTCACAGTAATGATCTTGTCTAAATTTTGAGAAGATTAAATCTAGGAAACCTTTAGGATCTAGATAGGGTTTTTTATTATTGTTCTGAGAAACAAATACCTCCTCTTTGTGGGAGCTGCCTGACTTCATCACATCTGACAAGGAAAGAGAGTACCTGACCTTCTTTGTAAGACACCTAAAGCAGAGATTATCCTTAATTATCCTCAATATTTGTCCTATAAATTGTCCTGTGGCAGTCAGAGACATGCCCTGGTTTTGGGAGCAGAGTGCCCTGGAGGCCCACTTCCCTAGGGTGGCCCTGGGAGGCACTGTGTGCCTGTGCCAGCTGACTGAGAGGCACCACAGGGTTAAAATCCTTCCTCTGCTTCCCCCTTCTTTCCAGAGATTAGTAAGCAAGTTGCTGAGCTTTACCACAAATAACCTGTTACCTTCACCTGAGGTCTTGCTCCAGGTGCTGCTGCTCCGGTCAAGAACAGGGCAGGAGCCAAGCCTGACCTTTGCTCTTGTGTGCCAGCAGGGAAGAGGGATGGGTTCTGTGCCCTCACCCAAGGTCCAGGCTTCACGGGTGGGGAGGGAGGCTGTGCTAGATTTTCAGCAATTATCCCTTGCCTGGGTGGAGAGTCCAAGTTGCAACTGAGTAATCAGCCACCCCAGACACCACCCTCCTCCCTGAAGCTCTCACAAAGTGTGATTAATTACATGATAAGGCTAGAGAATGGGTTGTGAGTGATCAATAGCTTTGTGCAGGGGTTAACTGTGTGCCTGTGACCTTTGCATGGTCCAGTGCTGCTCATGCTCTCCAGCTGCCACAGACACATGAACTCCAAGACTCTGCTAATAGGGAGTAAGACAGGGCCTCTTGAGATCTGTAAACCTTTAGACTTGGTGTTATAAGTAACTGTAACTTGCTTTGCTTTCTGAGGTTGTCGTGGGTTTAGATTAGAATTGTTTTCATATGCCATCACCAAACAACCACACTTGGTGCCCAGCGTGGATGTCAGGCAGGGGACAGACAACAAGAAGCAAATGTGTGACCATAATCTAATGAGTTGTAATTGTCACACTGATATCATATTGATGCTGATGATTAAGATTATGAAAATAGGCAGATTTGTTATCTTAAAAGGTATTTAAATCACTAGAGAGTTTGGCTTGACACATTTAATTTCTTTTGAGGTAATGTTTTTCCTTACTGTAGGACTGTCCTGACAACACATCTGTCTTCTGATACTTACATGGATATTCTGCAAATGTCCTCTCCAAAACTATCATGAAAGCATCCTCCCTTTCGTGCCTAGAAATAAACCCTGTCCTGATGGAGCAGAAAGTGCCATTCTGCAGAGCCAAGGAGCAAGTTTTATTATAAGTTTACGTAACTTGAAATATGAAAGGGCTCTGAAATTTGCAGTGTGTAAAACTTCACAACATTATAAACCATCCAGACTTCAGCACAGAGAACCATTTATCCATGTCATATGACTCTATGAAGCCAGGAAACAATGCACATCTCTTCAGCCTTTCATTAACTTACTGGTCAATATAATGAGTTTCATAAGAAATAAAATATCCCATCATCACCCAGGAAGAGGTATTTTCGGCCAGATGTAAGACACAAATTTAATCAGAATTTACTGACTTCTCTCTGCAAGTGGAGCTGTCTGGTAGGGAAGGGGTTTCCTTACAGGGCAGCTCCACCTAAATTCATCTGAAGTCTGTATAGTCTTAAAACATTCAAGTTGTCCTCTTCAGGCCTAGAAACCAAAATCCAGCTGACAGCCTTCAGTTAAAGGATAAGCTTTCAAGGGTAGTGGGAATTCCTTTATGAAGTAACCACGTGCCCTACAGCATGAGGTAATCTTACTAGGCTGCTCAGTTTTTACTAATGTCCAGTGAACTATGTACACCAAATTCCGCTGGTTTCTTTCTGAGGAATTTATTGAACAATTTCCCCAAAGTTTGCTAAAATCTGCTAAATGGGTAATGGTAATTGTAACAAACTCCTACCTGTTGAATTTATTTTGCATATTGTCTCAACATGCAAGGTGTCATGTAGTCCACTTCTGCAAGGCCGGCTAGAAATTGCCTCAGGCTTTAATTATTGGGAAGGAAGTAGAAATAGGAACTCTCAAAAAAAATGAGAAATGCATTTTATGCTTTCAGGTGCTCTGGGACAAACAGATGAGTTTGAGATCAGGGTCTCACCTTTTCAAGTAGACACAACATATAACTTAAGTGGCAATATTATTTACAGTGAATAAATACAACCCACTAAGTATATGCAAGAAAAAAGCAGAGACCCAAGAAAGGTGAATTCTTGTAGTGCAGACAAAGTGCAAGGGATCCCAGGACTATGATGTATTCATTCAAGTGACCAATTCAATCAGTCCTAATACAGCACTTTGTTATCACTGCTTCCTACAAAATAATACTGCCACTTCCATACTACCCTGCTGAGCAGCCCTTGGCTGAGCCAACACTATGGACTCAAAAGCAGATGTCCCACAGGGTGACCACTGCCTGTGAGATCCCACCTCCTCTGTGGCCCCTTGATCCACTGCCTCAGGGGATGCCAGAGGACAAGTTGTGTCCCTCTGTAGTGCAGATCTACCCATCCTTGTCCTTCTGCTTCAAACTAAACCAACGCAAAGGAGAATGTGAGAGTCCTTGTGAGGCGTTATTTGGGGACAGGGACCAAAGCCTGAGCTCTCCTCTGTGTGAGCTAACTCCTGGGTCAAACCCCAGGACACAGGCCCTTCGGATCAGCTCGATGTGCGTGCGCTGGCAAAGCATCATGGATGCTTAGGCAACTGTTATCAGATCTCTGTTTATAAATACAAGATTTTGAATTTGGCTTGAGTGCTTAAGCTTACTAGCAGGCAGGCTTCCCCCCCCAACAAAAGCACAATAACAACTAGAACGAACAATCACTGTTTCACCTCTCCCACATTAGCTATTAATAATGTTAATTTACTTCCTTTGAGAGATACCATATGGTCCCCTTCCTGATCCCTCTACAGGCATAAGAAAAAACTAAGGAAATTAGAGAGACTCCATAACACTGATGGCCACATCCAATGTCTTATCAGGCTTCCTGTTGTTGGGAGTATTGTTTTCCTTTAAAGATTAATATTTACAATGGTTACTTAGTTATCTTAGTTCATTTGGTGACCATTAAAGATTCCAGCCCTGAGTGCGATGAATGAACCTCCTTTTATTTGTCCTTGATGACTTATTTGTCTTGTGCCTCGTCTGGCTGAAAATCAAGGAAAATAATTACTGGGTTGGGCTTTTACTGCAATTTCATATGAGGGCTCAAAGTGCATGTTTCTCTTTGTTTTAGAGTGGGAGCCCTTACCTGATGTTTCTGCTGATGTATGCATATTTAAGAATATATGGTTTCAGATTAGAAACAAAGTTAAAATATGTATTTTCATCTATTTTTCTTAAGCTGCATGCCTGTGCTCCTTGGGGGGGAAAAAAGAGAATATTTCACATTTCATCCACAACTGGATGTACAGCAGCCATAAAGGGTCACCAAAGGGGTCTTTGTTGGGACAGAAAAGGCAGCGTGTGGCTGTCCACAGGCTGGAGGAACAATAACCCAGTCAGAGCCTGTCCATATCTTTTCCCTGTGCATCAGCTGAATTTCAAGGGATTTCTCTGAAAGTACTAACGACACAATCATTTTTCTCCTGTATTTTTTAATAAAAGCCCAAAGGCAAAGCAGGAAGGTGTTGTTCAGTGTGACACATATGGGGATCTCAATCCAGCTGCCAGCTTCCAGAGCTACAGGGACACTTCTAGCCATGATGGATTTTGAAGCCACCTTGAGTTGTCTTTGTTCCTACTAAAGAGGAGTACAAAAACTCCCCTGTACTCACAGGGGTACTAGACCCAGCCCAGTTCTCTGGAAAACACGACCAGAGGAAAACATGGTCTATAGTATGAATTGTTCTAACTCTGTGCCATGTGCAGCATTACTGCAGGAGTGAACGTCAGTGCATGAGCATGCCCTGTTTTTATCCCTTATCTTGCCCTCCCTGGAGGTGGAAGCTCCTACCAGCTCATCCTCAGCTGCCCTTAAAATGGATTCATTTCCATCTTTGTGAGCAGACCCCCTGCAAGTACAGTTCTGGTGGTAATCATGCTGGCCACCTCTCCATGCATCCTTCCTACCCCAGCCCATCAGTGTTTTCTTGAGTAAAGTCCTCTGGATGACAAAGGCCAGGATTCAGCCAGGTCTGTTTATGATGTGTTAATCACTTTGCAGCATGAACCGCCAGACCCCCACGAGTGAGCCAGTTCTCAGGCACAGCTGGCTCCTAGAGAAAGGATAATTTATAATCATGACACTTCCAAGGTCTCTCTCTTTTTCTCCCCTTCCCCTTCATAGTCCTTGTTCTCATCCCAACTGGTGAATGTGGGACAGACCACCCCAGCATTTGCAGGGGGAGGCTGCTTTTCTGGTTTCCTAGCATAATGCTGTCTCATCCTGAAACTGCATATTTGGTGCACTTTTATTTGAACTCATTTGCAAAATGACAGATGTTTCTGATACGATAAGAAACGTGGCCCAGAGGCGCTGCAGAGCTGCTTGTGCTCCTCACCTGAATCACAAATGAGATAATGCTTTCTTATCTGTTAAAAAACACGAGCAACTGCACATATAAATAACACGTCACTAAGTGCCAGCTGTTTGTGCCAATGACATTTTTCTTAAAAGAACAGCTCCCCCCGTCATCTGCTTTCTCTCTTGTAGAAAATCTGGAGCTCTTTTGCAAGCACAGCAGAAAAGATGTTTTTTCTTTTTTAAGCTGCAGTTACTTTAAAATAATTCCATGTGAGCAAAAAACAGCTTTTATGACTCAGGTACTTTTTTTTTCTTTTTTTTTCGGTACTTCCTTGTCCTTTTTCTGCATCTCTCTCTGAACTGAAGGAAAAAAGTATCAGTGCTGCTTTCTGTCTCTTGGCAAATCATTCTTGCGGACCTTGCTGGCTTTCCATGATTTCAGGGCTTCTGTTCTGAATGGAATGGAAGAAAGTTACTTAGTGTTTAATTTTTTATTTTCATTGAAATTATTTTGAAAATGTGAAAGAGAACAGGAAATCACTTTTCCTAAGGTTTGTAAAAGGATTTTTGGTACCTTGAATTTAGATTGAAGGTAGAACCACCTCTAGAACCTCAGACATTGAAGCAAGCAGGCCTGCTTACTCAGTAACCTTTACTATTAATTCTTGCAGACAACAGAACTTAAAAATCCTACCAGGTGAAGTTGTTCTGGTAATTGATCTGTTCGATGTTTTATTAGGATAAAACTGAGAAACACTTTTCAGCATTTTGCCAGCTCAGGCAGGGATGTATTTCTGTTACAAATGACCTTCTGGGAGAACTTGACTGCAGGGACATGATTCATTGGCAGCCTGCTGGTGACAGCCTTGTTTCTATTGTTCTAAAACTCTGGTTTCACATTTCTCCTCTTAGATAAGCTGCAAACATTAACTACACAGTGAGCTACAAATAAAGTGTGATGTAAGAATTAAGCCCATTATCTGATTGGCAGTGCAGGGCTACTCTTCCAGGTTAAGGGTTTGAGCAGAGGTTTTGTTTGGGTTTTTTTTAAAGCAAAACTTTGGCTTCTTACATTACTGAAAGCATTGTCCTCCCAAAAGATAAAATATTCCTTTGGAAGCTGCAGTGTGTATATATAGTGTGAGCTATAAATAGTCTGGAGCTAGTTCTGCACAGTACCAGTGTGCAGAGATATTAAGGACAGATTCTGATTTTTATGGCTACATTGGGGCTGCTGAGAAAAAACAGTCTGAAATGGTGACTTTTAAATTTTATTCAGTATGTTTAGATTCACACCAAGATAAGAATCTTGCTGGGACTTTTATATGTGTTTTAAGGAATAAAGGAATTTGGTGGCCTCAGTTTAATCTTCGTTTGAGTTGGAGGCTACATATCAATTTCTGGTATTCTTATTTAGGACTAATACTGAGGCAAATGAATTCACTCTTACATGAGGAATGGCTTGATTATCATTCTAGCTGAAAAATAGGTCTTTATACTCCCACAGCTCAGCTGCTGTGAGTGGATGTGCATCAGGACTGAGAAATGGTTGCTATTCAGCTCCTTCTGATGTTAGGATGACTTTCAGCAATTGAATGATTTATGGTAATGTTGATATTCATGCAGGCTATTTTACTGCCAGGATAAAGACCACAATGTCTGATGAGTTTCTTTTTTTGAAGGGATATGGTGGTTATAGGCTGACATTGGAACCAAATTCTCTGGCTGAAGCAGTGTCTTCCCTGCTGCAATGGGGTGGAGGCTGCGGGCAAGGGGACAAGAAGAAAAGTACCTGTTTATAATGGATTATTGACCATGTATTATCTCTTCTGCTGTAAAATCTTAACAGGACAAAGCATAATAATGTTATTAAGGGCATATGAGGCAGGGTCAATGCCAGGGTATTAACCTTACTTAGCAAAATTGTGATAAATATACTAGATCTCATGTTTCCACAAGAAAGCAGCAGCTTTACAGCAGCTTCTGATCATGCATTAAAACTCACTGCCCTCTGTTGCATCTTTCTTAGATTTGAACAGCAAGGAGAAGGGTTGTTTGTGCTGTTGGCTTGTGCCTTTTAACATCTGTGCAGTTTGGAGGCATCATTCTGGGTTCCTAAATCTTCTTTGCAGTATGTCATGTACACTTGAAAGAATGAGTTAGGCCATCCATACAGAGATGCCTGGTAGGAGGCTCCTGGGCCTCGGTGGTACACAATGGGTCCCCATGGAGCACTTTGGGATTCAGTCCTTTGGCAATTTGCTGTGCAGTGGATTGCAGGATTCAGTGGAGCAGCTTTCATTCATACTAGTGAATTCCTGGTGACTTGTGGAGTGTTTGTTGAGGTCTGTGGTGATCTTACACATCATAATTGAAGTTGTGTAGTTTCCTTCCTAGGATGATCCATTCTGTAAGACTTAATGCATCAGACTTCCTGGTCAACTTTACTGGCCCATTTATTTAACAGACTTCTTAATCACTTCTGAGTAGCACTTTACTCCTGCTAGCACTTATCCTCCTATATGCTGTCCTGGCCACTCTCAGAGGCTGTAGAAAGGGGGCAGGAGAGACAAGAACAACTTCTTTTGTGTATTCTTTTCAGCTCATGACTCACTGCACAGGGACCCTGGAAATGGGCCATGCTGAAGTGCACTGCAAGCAGGGCCCATTGCAAACCCTGGGAAACATCTCAGATCTGCCTTCATGTGCTCTAGTGCCTGCTAGAAGAAACAAAGGACTGCAAGGACCCCAAAATCTCTCCATGCCTCTTAAACTTCTGTGCCTCCTTCTGTCCTTGTTATGTATATGCAGCTGGGACAGCTGAGAACAGGGAACTGTCTTTCTACAGATACACTGATGTTCCCAGTTCAGTGACATGTAAATATGAAAATTAGTAAAGCCCAAGGACTAAAAGCACACCAGTGCAGCTCACTCAAATCCCACTGCTGTGAGCTCCTTTCATACCCAAGGAAAGTCCCTACTGCTCTTCCCAAGTGGTGACTGAGCCCATCCAATAACCTCTGCCATCCTCCTGAGATCAGCTCCGGCTGTACCTGTCCCTGTCTATATGGTCAAACCTGTCTCTTACTTCTGCAGAGATGCCCTTCATGATACAACAGGAGCTGGCCAGATATAATCCCAGCCTTCCTCTTCAGTTCTGCACCCTCATGTGGTAAATATCTTTACTTGTGTTGTTCCACTGACCTTTTATATTGATCGTTCTTCTTGTTAGCAATATCCCTAGAGCTCAAACTTACAGGTGAGCACCTTCTACTCCTCTAGTCTTAGCTCTGGTGCTGACTGTGGAAACATCTCCCCCTATCTTCAGCTGGTTCCAGGTAGAGAAGGGAGTTTCTGACAGGCATAGCTCTGTTATTTATCTGGGCTGGTCTGAGTATTTTCCCAAAGAATTTGTGAAATACTCTGAATGATCAAAGGCACAAGCATGTGATTCCAGGTCACTGGAGAATAAGCTATTTAAAAAGCACTAAAAAAAGAAAAACTGAAAGACTATCTGGCTCTAGAAAGCACTTAATTTAGTGAAGTGTCCATGTCATGAGTGAATGTCTTGTCATAAGGCAATTTTGCAGTATTCCTCAGGGCTAGCATGGGTCCCACTTTTGTGTGTGACACATGGATAGTGCCACACTGAATGTAAATGTGTTCGCATACAGTTCAAATACCCTTGGCCTGCAGTCATTTTTTCTTTTTTTCTCCCATCTGTTTGACCCTTGCATCACTGGGCTGTTTGGTTGATTTGTGTAATCTTGTGCACTATCAGTTTCAGCTTACCTGATCTTGTTCTGGCATCTCTGCCTCTCAGCATCTTCTAAGAAAGCTATTGTAATTCCATGAGCCTCCACGTTTATGGAATCATTTTCATTTCTCAGATGCAGATAAAATGTTTCTATCTTTGGGGCTGAAGATTTGGTGTCTCAGATGAAATTGTTTTATCATCATATAATAGAGCTAAACTTCTTACTTTGAGAATTGGTGGAGTAAGGCTTACTGCTCTCATGGCAATACCTACTTGCACTTATTTTCCATGTCTCTCTTTCCTGCTGGGCTGGTTTAGGGAATAATATTCTAATGAAGGGCAAGAAGAAACAAACTCTGCTGAATTATTCCCTTTGCACTCTTTTTATTTTGAAGAGTTCATCTCCCTTCAAGGACTATGTGGATTTTTCAACTTCACAAATAAGACCTTGTCTAGATCCTTTCCTTTGACAGGTAGAGGATAACACGGGAAGCCCTATGAACTTTCTGACAGTCATTCTCACTCAGAATTACAGATTTTTAGTGAATTCCCTTGCTGCTTTTATAGGATTATTTCACCAACTGTTTTTTCACCTCTACAGTTTATATGGTTAATGGGCACACATTCAGAACCAATAAATGAGTAAAATGAGCAAACATGATTATCTTCCTGTAATAAATTGAGCAGAATGGGTCTCTTAGCATCATTTTGTATACAGTCCTTGGCCCTGGGAACCTTGCTCAGATGTGCCAGCTCAACTTTCCTCATTTGGCTGTCTGGGAAGGCTGTCAGAGTGGCCAGCAGAGTTCACTTTAGACTTTCTCTTCATCCCTTCCTCTGCAGCTGTTATGTGATTTGCAAGCAAAGTTTCTCTTTCTTCAAAAGTACTTTCATCTTTTGAAAACCAAGAAACTCCCTCTTCCCTAAATTATTCATGTTTAGGGTAGGGTTTCTGGTACCCTGAGGTCTAAAATACATATATTGATGATACCTGCTGGAGTCTTGTCTGTGTTGGCAGTGGTAGGAGAGACCTGTGGACATTAAATGAAGCAATGTGGTTATATGTGTCTTTCAAAGCCAGGCTGGAGATGCAGCTGAACTCCACTCCTTTACCCTTTGACATCCAGTTTTTCTGAAAAATATTTTCCAGTGTCATATTTCAGTGGATCAATAAAGCATATGGCCTTTCTACTTAAAAACAAACAAACTTGAAAATACCTTTGACAAGATTAAACCCATGACCCATGACCTTCCTACATTTCCATGTTCTGTTTGGTTTCTTTGGATCAGCAAAAATAGCCCAAATATTAATATTAGCTGAATAGTCTTGTAATCCCAAAGAGAAGAACTTTTCCTGGAAGGAAGAGTCTGTCTCTTAAAAGGGACCTTTGTATTTTCTTGGATGTTTTACAAATGCTGCACCTGTACATGAGAGCTTCATCCAGATAGGAAATATACACTTCAAAGTGTGTTTCCATACACCCCTGAAACAAGAGCCCCTGTGCATTTGATAAATCAAATGGTTCTCTAATCTGATTATACAAATATCATGTAGCTACAATGGCTGTATTCCAATTAGTTTTTCAGCCATGAACCTTTGATAGTGTCTTTTCTTCAAAAGACAGTTTTATCTCCTATACTGGTCAAAATATTTTTAGTTGTCAGCCTGTTTACTAAATTCCATCTAGTCCATGCATATTACCAATCCTTTTCTAATGTGCATTAACAAGATGAATACGATTATTCTAATTTTGGAATCTCTTTTGCATTTAACAGCAGTTTTTCCTTTATGTAGAGCACTATTCATAAAGACACGTGTTCTAAGCATGAGGTTGGATTAGTTTTTGCAGATCTCAGATCAGTCCAGTGCTCTCTCCTCTCTGGCAAAATTTCTAATTCCCTCCTAGCTGAAGAAAATTCAAATACATACATTTAGAAAGAAGAAAAAAGCAAAATCCAACACCAATCAGATAATTGCCCACAAACCTTGAAAGTTTTGCCCATCTAAATCCCCCTGGCTGGAACTGGAAATGCCACAGGCAGAAATATTTCAGGTACGCTCAACTCAGTAGCAATAATCACACCAGATTCTCTAGTCCATCACTTTGACATCTCCAGCAGTTTTCTATTTCATAATGTCACAAGTGAAGGCAGAAGGTAAACCTGACCTCTGTGCACTCTCGTAGGAACAAAGTGACAACAAAAAACAGGAAGAAAATGAAAACCATTTGCAATTCAGTAGAGATCCACAACCCTTCTGCAAGTGCAGTACAGTGACAAACAAGTGATGGGCTCATGAACATCATTACAGGAATTTCTCCATGCTGATGTGCTCTGATGCTCACCAAGTTTCATTCTAACAAAGCATGACTGTGTTCCTCACCTGCACTGCCAGGCCGAGGGGTTTGCCCTCATGCTCGTAGGAGAGAGAAGCCCTGATGTTGGCTTCAGTGGTTGCCTTTCATGCTGAAACATTTTCAGCCTAATCTCTTTTATTGGCAGCATCCAAAGTCAGATGCTTAAACCTCATATGGAGACTGAATAATTAGAAAAAGGGATTGTATCCAACTGCCTCATGTATTCACATGTGCCCAAGTGGTGAAAAGTCACAAATGTCTTTCTTCTCTCTCCCTCCTTGACTCATCTTGAATAACTTTATCCCTCTCAAGTGCAGAGGTGGTGTTGTGTCCTTTCAAACACTTTAATAACTGTTTTCCCTTAGTTAATACTCAGTATTACCTGGTTTCCCTTTGACTCGAGATTTATATTTTATGTTTTCCCAAGGCAGGTATAAACACTGGCTGCGCCCAGGTGCTGCTGCTACTGCTAAGCTTCCACTTTACATTCCCCAGATTCCAGCCTGGTGTGTCTAGGCAGACATTGCTTGGCTGTTTAAATTGAAAAACAGTAACACTGAAATACACTGAGGTTAAAGAAAAAGTCAAACAACTGCTTTAGGGTTAGAGTAAGAGAGTACCAGGTGAGAGAGATTTCGTGGGCAGGAAAGTTCAAGGAACTGGTCTTGAATGCAGAAGCAGAGCCTCCTCTACAGAGACATGTAGGCTGAATAAGGTTATGATGTGAAAATAGAAGAAGCAGGTAGTTGAAAAATGGCCAATTATTTTAATTCCAGGGAAATTCCAAAGCAGGACTTGCTGTAGCACATCCAAACTGCAAATGTTCTGACAGTTTTAGCAATTCAGTGGTGTTTTCAAGATGTCTTCAAACCACCGTTGATTTTCTGCCTCCCACTGCCCTTTTACCAGCAAGCAAAGATGACAAAGCAGAGTGGGAAATTAGAATATTACAATGTTCACTACCCACACAGTCTCAATGACCATAAAGAGAAAGACAACCAGAGGTGCAGAAAGCCAGCTATGAGAGTTCAGCTGCCTGCATGCGTGTGTGCAGCAGAGAGGGTGCAGAGCGTGGGGGATGAAATCGTGTCATTGAATAAGGAGTGGTTTGGGCACAGTAATTGTTATATCTGAATGATCGTGACATGCAAGCAAGGAAAACAATGATGTTTTCAGACTCTGCAGAGAAGTAAAATCTTTGCTTCTTCCGAGCACGGTTGAACTTTGCAACCAAGAGCTTAATGCCATACCAGGTCAGTTAATAGGATATTATTGTCTCTAACCACAACAGTCAAGAGTTGGAGTTTGCTATCAACTGGCTGAATGACACCCAGAAATTCTTTCCAAACTTACAAACAAGCAAAGAGACAAGTTTGAACCTGAACTCCAGGGTAATCACGCCCCTGAGGAGCATAAACAAACATGGCACCAGCTAGAAAATTATTCTTGAGGTGTCACTGTTGACTGATCCAGATGAGAAGTTTCCAAGGTTGGGGTCGCGACCCCGAGGAGCGCTGATGGAAGGGAGGTCATGAGCCCGGAAATGAGGGTGGGAGCCGACAGGCTTGGGAACTGCTGATGCAGGCAGACGAATGGTCACGTCAAAGGGGTCCCCTTGGAATATCCTTTTCCCCTCTCCCGCCTCACAAACAGTAACTGGTGAAGTTTAAAGCTGACGAGACTGTCTGTTTATAGCACACTGCTGTATTTTTACAAGTATCCCTGGAAATGAGCCCAAGATGATTAGGGAGATGGGAGCAAGGAAAGCTCTTGAGGGAAGGATGTGGGACAAGGAGAAAGGGACGGGAGGCAGGTCTCTGGGAAACATGATCTGCCAAAAAAAATAAGGTTCATCAGTTTCAATGGGAAGAGAACAGAGGCTTTTCAAGGTTGTAGTGAAGTTTTAAAGTCTAACTTGGAAGGTCAAATTCTTCTCCCTTAAGAAGTTTGAGGGATGTTCTTGTGCTCCTTCCCTGCGAGAAGTCCCTGGTGCTGAACTGGATACCTTGGTGTGGAAGCTAATACAAGGTGGGATTAACGTGTGGGCAAAGTAAGGTC